GCGCCGCTGCTCCGACGGGGGCGCGAGGGCGCGGGCGCGAGCGCGACGCGCGTCGTTCTCGGCGTCGCGGCGTGCGGGATCGTCGCGCTCGTCGGTGGTCGAGGATCGATGACGACGCGCGCGGGGGTGTTGGAGACGACGACGAGGACGACGACGACGACGACGACGACGCTTCGCGCGCGACTCGGTGCGGCGGTGAGCGCGGCGAAGCGAAAGGAGATGCTCGACGCGAAGCGGGGCGAGCTGGAGGAGAAGGCTCGAACGTTGGAGGCGGATTCGGAGCGCGCGCTGCGAAGGACGGCGATCGCGTCGGACGACTTCGCGGCGGCGACGAAGGATGTCGACGACGACGACGCGGGCGATGCGTGCCCGTCGAGAGAGGTGAGAACGCGAGCGGCGTACGCGAAGCGCGTCGGTAAGGTGTACGCCGATGAGAAGGCTGCCGTCGAAAAGCGGAGGAAAATCGACGACAACCTGAAAGCGTCAAAGGGTCGACGGAAACCGAAACGGAAAGGTGCGACATCGACCGAGCGGAAAACGACGACGGGCGGTGGGTCGAATGAAACGTCCGCGCTCGGCAGTAATTTTGGTTGGATCGGAAACGTGGTCGACGCGGCGGGCACCGTCACCAGTTGGTCGAGCGAGATAATCGGCGAGTACGCCGAAGAAGTGGATGAAGGCTCGGGCTTTTGCTGGCGCGAATCGTACACGCGAGAAGGCATCATTCCGCAGTACTGCGGTGACGACGGCAAGAAAGAGATCGTCGGCGAAGGTGGTTTGCTTTGCTACGATAAGTGCTCAAACTTTGGCTCTGGCTATTATCGCTCCGGATACGACTGTTATCAGTCGTGCTCGACCGGATGGAGAGATGACGGCTTGCTGTGCTATAACGCCGACGCGAGTTACGGTCGGGGCGTCGGCACCATCGAGTGCGAATGGGATTGGTCCACTTTTACCGTGAAGTGCGGCGGAGATCTTTGCACGAAAAAAGGCAAGGAGGACTACCTCGGTCTCTGTTACGAGCCTTGCAAGAGTGGCTACAGCAATTTTGGATCAAATATTTGCACGATGGACTGTCAGCAGCAAGGTTACGAGGGCGGTATAGCCCCAAGTTGCACAAAACACGTCAAACTCTCTCCAGGCATGGAGTGGGCGACGTGTCCTCCTGGCTATGAGTACGACGCCGGTCTCTGTTACGAGCCTTGCAAAGAGGGGTTCGTCGGCGCGGCGTTCGTCTGTTGGGGCGATCCCCCGACGGTGAACGGCAACAGATGGGTCGAATGTGGTATGGGCGCTGCCGCCGACGACGCTACGTGCGCGCTGGTCGTCACCGACCAAATCATGGGCCCGCTTGAGATGGTCGCCTTCTTTGCCACGCTCGGCGCGAGCTCTGGCGCGACCACTGGCGCCAAGATCGGAATCAAAACCGCGACAAAGTGCGCCAAGGCTGCGGACAAGATTGGTGACACCGCAAAAGCAGTTAAGAAAACCGCGGAAGAGTTGAAGGATGCCTATGATAACATCGACCAGGTTGTCAGTACAGCGGACGGCGTCATCGGGGGCATCGAGAACATGATGTCCGTGGAGACAGAGGCTGACGGAATCAGAGCCGCCGCCGAAGTCGCGGCGCTGTTCGACCCGACCGGTATTTCGTCCACCGTCGCCGCCTACAGTCACGACATTTGTACTCGGTACACCGAAGCGCAGGCCGAGGCCGAGGCGACGGATCCAGCGCTCCTCGAGGCGCAAAAGATTGCCGTCGCCCGAGCGATGACTCTCTGGTCTGAGGGCAAAAGCGTCGAGCGTTGCGGCAAAGCCATTACCTGGCAGATGAAAAATCAAGGTCGCAGCGATGCCGAGGCGGCGGAACTTCGCGAGCAAGTCGAGGCCGCGCTCACCGCGGCGTCCGCGGCGCCGCCATCCGCCGGATCGACTACGACTGCGATGAACAAATAAAGATACAATTTTCTCCCGATACTCCTTACAACACGTGCGTCATGTAAAATATACAACCCCAAAGTCCCTCTGTATAAATAAAACGTCAACTCATTCGCCGCGCTCGTCCTCCT